GTGTGGGGTGTGCGGTAAACAAGAGAAAAAGAGAGAGAGGGGGGAGAGAGAGAGAGAGAGAGAGAGAGAGAGCAGCCCGCCGGCCCATTGAGGAAAGATGGCTACAGTCACTGCAAACGGAGTGCAGCAGGAGAATGGATTCAGCACCACGAACAGCGCCGGCAGGATGAACGGGCTCACCATCGGCCAGAACACCATTCCAATGAAGGACCACGACGCCATCAAGCTTTTCATCGGCCAGATTCCCAGAAACCTGGAGGAGAAGGACCTGAAGCCTCTGTTTGAGGAATTCGGAAAGATATACGAACTCACTGTACTGAAAGACAGGTTTACGGGAATGCATAAAGGTGGGTTCTTTATGGATCTTTACTTTTGTGTTCCGTCAGAAACGAGTAATGGGAGGGGAAGTGAGAAAGAGAGTGAGTGAAATAGGAGGGAGGGAAAGGGGGCGAGGGAGAGAGAGAGAGAGAGAAGAAAAACGTCCCAAAAACGTCGTGCAGGAAAAGTGTGTTCGTTTCGAGATGTTTGTGGGACAGCCTACACGCGCACACGTACACGAACGCACACGTTGGTAGCGAGAGAGAAAAACACGTGGAAGTGAACGAGTCCACGGCGCAGGGTTAATTGTCCACTGAGTCCACGTGAATACTACAGTTGAAATGGCCCTTGTGTGTTTACTATCATATCCCAGGGAGAGGGGGGCGGGACGGCGGGACGGGATGTTGTGTTATTTCTGCAGCTGCAAAAATCTGATCACATCATTCATCATGAAAAACGGAAGAAAAAAAAAGAAAAAAAATCCCAACCTTCTGTTCTCCTTCCACTCCATTTGCTGCATATAGTCATCAGAGAAAGAGAGGGAAACAGAGAGAGAGAGGGAGAGAGAGAGAGGGAGAGAAAAATAAAGGCTTTCAGAGGAGCGGAAAATGCAAACCATTATCAGGCAATCAGTGTGGGTGATTAAGGTGGTGCTGGCGTGCTGCTTTGACCTTTCAGCAGCACACTAATATGCTGCACACTTTTCAGACGTCATTAGCCATGGAAAATACTATGTACACGGCAGCTGTGTTGTAGCGCTGCTCCGTGGGCGGGTTTGCAGTCAGGAAGTGCACAGACAGGATAGTAGAGAGCCGGGATCCAGGGAACGTCCCACTTATTGTCTGAAAGGTCCGGGACCGGCGTTCACTTTGTAATTAGACCGAGAGACCACTGATTATCATGGATCACACAACTGTGCAGCCATTAGCACCGTAATGATATGGAGACGAAGGATTATTGTTCTGGGGCTGGTAGTAATGTATTTGGGTGTATACAGTTCTCCACCTCCTTCATATTATTATTATTATTTTTTTTAAACATTTTTAGAAGTTGCATTGACATCAAAGTTAGCATTGATATCACTAGTCACTGTCAAAGGGAGCTACAATATTATATTTGAACTAAAATCAGATGATTGAATTGTGCACAGTTTAGTTCTTCTTGCTCAGCATCACTGCAGAAGAATTACATTTTTTTATTCCACTAGAAATTAATTTATATGTTGTATAAAAATTGTTTCACTGTATCAGTAAATAACGCAGTCTAGTTTTGATGCACCATACGACAGGATTTTTTTTTTCTGACCCAAACCGACACTATTGTCTGAACTATAATTGTTATAGTGCACTACACGGCATTTCCTTAAATGTTGCTTCAGTTCTTCTGTTTACTTCTACCACTGATTTTACAAGTCATAACACACACACACACACACACGATAAGAGTGAATTTCAAATCAAATCTCTGACTAAAATAATATATTCACCAGCCAGGCAGATGGCTGTGTAGCTGACATGGACGTCAGCAGCTACAGACCACGGTCTTATCGATCAGCACCAGAAAAAGGCTTTTGCGTGTGATTCCTGCGTGTGGGCTCAGCATTACTTTCTTGCCCGTGCATCCCTGCAGGTCTGCCTTCGTGCACCACCTGTTCCTCCAGCCAACAGTTGCTGGCGCTGATCAGCATACACATCATGCACTCAGTTGTTCCATGTAGTGGGGCAACAATCGATTAAAACAATAATTCTGATGTCCGTGTTGTTTACGCCTGTCCTTAACCGTCACTGAATGTCAACACTCTGGAGGACGGTCGCCTCAGGGAGCGTAATCCTGTTCCAGAGACAGACGACGGGACAGACAGACACACGGACAGTACGCCCACCCGAATCATCCTCCTCCGAGGCCACACTGATGTATGCAGCATGTCTGCTTTATCCTGCGTGACATTCAAAGTCACTTTGGGAGCACAGGCGTGCACTTTTAATATGATTTCACAAATGCATTATATGGATGAGTTTTTCTCATTGGACGCTTACCTAAACCAGACCCATGCCTGTTGCTGCGTCAGTGCAGGGTACCTGTGGACCACTGCAAGGAAGCAGAAGAGTTGGGTAATGGGATTAGTGTGGTTAACAGAACGTAAGTAGGTAGAGAGAATCATTAGCTGCGTCAGTCAAGGAGAGCAGTTTAAAAAGACCCACTGAATGGGCACTCTGAGGAGAGAAAAGCTTTTCTCGGGGCAAATGAAGTTAAAATGAATCACGCACTTATCAGTGAAAGCCTTGAAAAGGCTACTGCTTAAAATGAGTCCTGCTGTAAACAAAACATCCATTAAAATTATATATATATATATATATATATATATGAATCTTAATTGAATAATTTACTTTAATTTCAATTTAATTTTCAACTGTAGAGCATGTACAGCCAGGTGGGATTCGCTCTCAACACAATCAGAAACGCTAAATTTCTCAATTACCAGAAGAAATCAGAATAAATTGTTCTACAAAATGCTGAACTCTGCTGTGATGTTTATTCTCTTAATGCACATTATCTGTGATCGACGATTGAACAAATAAGTTGAGGTTTTCAGATCATCGAGCTGTTGGAGCTACAGAGCTGTAAAACAGTTGCATCGAGGACAGAGGAAATAATTTACTATTCCCACGTGACCTGTGGCTTATGTTAGAGAAAGATCAGGTTCCTCTGTGTTAAATGTTTTTTTTTCTTAAATTTGTTCTACATGGTGTCAGGTATCTAAGTAATCTTTGCGATATCTCTACTGCTCTATACGTTTTTTTTTTAATTTCTTACGTAAACACCTGTAGAGCTTAGATAGAATTTGAATGCTGTTGTTCACATATTAAAACCACAACACTTCTGTAGAAGAAGGACAAGAGTCTCCATCTTTGGAGCTGTTGGTCAGGGCAGCTGTAGCTCAGTGGGCATTCTTCGAACCAGAAGGTTCCTGGCAAGACTTTTTAAAACCAACTTTCTCACCATACAAGTGCCAGTACGAGGCCCAGATAAATAGGGAGGGTTCTGTCAGCAAGGGCATCGA